TGCATGGGAAAAACTCTTCCCTGAGGCTCTAACAAACCTCTATAAACTCTGTCTTGTACAGACAAATTTTTAGGGGGATCAGGGATCTGCTCAGTGGTGTATATGGCCTGAAGCAAGTAATCCATATCCTCTAAGGAAAACAAATGCCTAGACGGGCGAGACTCAGCAGATTCCTCAATGGTCTCACCCTCCTCCAGAGAACTTTCTGATCCGGAGCCAGAACCTGACACTGCTCTATCCAAATCCTCTGTGAAAGAGAGCGGTTTCTGTTGTACCCCTGAGGTACTAGGAAGACTGGCCCCTGCCCCCATAGGAGCACTAGAGGTGGATGGCAACATATCAGCCATAGCACTCTTAAAAGATTGGACTGTAGCCACCATTTCTGTCTTCATACAATCCAGAAAACCTTTAATAAAACTAGTGGATCCCAGTAGGGTGCGGTTTGGGTCGCAACTTAATGACCAAGGACAAATGTGGGTCCTGAGGTTATACAGGTTGAGAACCACTGGTTTAGGGAGTACCATCATTCACGAAGTTTTAAAATATAGATGAGCAAAGTACGACAGTGAAATCCCATTCTTTTAAATTGTTCCTGTTCACAATGGGCGCCCAGGCACCTGTATAGCTCAATGCCTAAATCTCAAAAAGGTACATGAGCTACTTTTGAAGCAGGACAGGGCCTTTTTGCCACCATAGACTTCAATGGAAGGGTTTTTTAAGGCTATGCAACCATCTCCTTCTCCTAGTACCTAGCATTTGTTTGTCAGAAACTAAAATGCTCAAGCCTGAATACACCTGAAAAATGCTCAAAAACACACAAATAAAAATGCTGCAAATTGCCTGTAAACGCTCACACTCGGGGGGGGGATGTAGACTTATGTTGGGTATACACGCGTAGATTTTCACAGGAACGTTCATAGGAAAAATCCTGTCAGTACGTTCCAAAATATCATCCGAGTCTTGGCAATTGCTGCTCGAACGTTCGCTTGATTTTCGTTTTTAACATATGGTTTTGTAAAGAAAATATTTCAACATGCTCTTGTGAATTTTTTCGTCACTGCGGTCAAAATCGATTGATTTCAATGCATCAATAAATAGAAAGTCGAACGAATGTTCTGGAATCGATTTAGTTCAAAATCCCAACCGTGTATACTCTACATGAGACAGTTGTGACCAGAACAGGTGCCCCCACTGAATGATTTCCCCTCACCTGCTGTTCTGGGAAGAACGCTACAATTCTAGATTTCCCATTACCTTCTTTCCATGTGACAATGGTGACCAGTACAGAGGGGTGAATCTCCCCTATTGGGACACAGACAGAGGATCTAACCTTGCCAAGTTTTCCCTCGAGAGACTTTACATTTGCTCTGCTCATCATTCTTCCCAAAACATTAAAAAAACGTTTTTAGCTAAAACAAATACAACTGGAAGCTGTAATATGTGCACAGTACACCTTGTTAATACCGTTGCTCACATCTCCTGCAGATTTCTAGTTGTTTTCTAAGCCAGAGTCCACAAGCTTGCTCAGTACAAATATTAGGATACTGACACCGCCGGCATGGCAAATAGGGACACATCAGCATTAGCAGTTTATCAGATCCAAGGGGAACTGAAACCACCACGTGTCACATAATGCTGCAGAGCCGACACCGAAGGAACCTCAACAAGAGGAACGCTGCTAGAAAAAAACAAAACCACAATGATACAAATTCACGGAAAGAATATGTTGTTCTGTTAAATGTGTAATATAATAAGAATGTACCCCAAAGAAAAGCCACAACCTGGTGACTGGAGGCACAAAGTCACAATGGGGACTATTTCTGTAGCAGCTGTTGGCTTAGACATATATTCACTTTTCACACGGTGGTCCGATTGGGTCCGCTGTCAGTTGATTTATCGATTGAAAGAGCCAGACAGAAAATTATTGACCAAGAACTGACTACAACCAGTCAGCTGCAGTCACTGTTTGGGAATACTGGCAGAAGCACCCGCTGCTCACAGAATACAATAGCCTAGCAGGGAGGATTCCTCCATCCACTGGTTAGCATGAATGGGGAAATCGAGCCAAACCTTTTGTGGAACTGGGGGTCCCAAGGGGGCCACACACTGGTCGAAGTCATACAAAATTCAAGCAATGTATGGCCCGCATGACACCAGCAAACCAATATGACAAAACACGTCAAAGTTCAGTGAACCTTCATTTTTCAGAAGTCACTTAAAAGTAATGTGTATATATACACACACACAGTCAGAGTGTGTGTGTGTGTACACATACAATAAATCCATCTATCCATACACGCTCATTGGAGGGATGGACAGGTAAGGAAGCGGGCTCTTTAGAGGCAGATCCAGCTGTCAGACAACCAGGTGGACCCTAACAATATTTGGAATCCTTCCTGGCTGCAGTGCGGCTCGGCGCTGTCAGCATATAGCAGGCAATAGCCCGCTATATGCTGAGTTTTGGGTCACAGGAAGATATATGAAAGGTCCTCCTGTGACCCAAAAGAGAAGTAAAGCCATAAAAAGGTTTGGCTTTACTGCGCTATAAAAACGGAGAGGTGATCAATGGCAGCCATCATACTATTCCCAGGACAATCATAGTGCTCATTTGTGGAAGTGTCAGAACGGAGACCTTCACATCAGTCCCCAGTAATGCTCAGCGAGAGATTCCAACACCAGATCATCAGCATTTACCTACAGCAAAACCCAACCCAGACAATTACTTAAAGTGTATCTAAACCCGAGAACAAAAATGTCATATATTGCAGCTTTCCAGTTCTTGTATTGGGTGGCTGCATTAGTTTTCATTTTACATCCCAAGTTCTTTCTCTGCAAGTACAGAAAACACCTCTTGGCCTTGCCAAAAATTCAGTGTCCTTGGCACTTCCTGTGCACTGAGCTGAAACCCAAAACAATCTTATCTTTATTTAATCTTTCCCAGCTATCTTCTGTGAAATACAGACCTCCCCTCCCCCATATATGTCTTTGTAGTCACAAGAGGGAAAGCAGCCTCATTATAATTATTATACAAGGTTTATATAGTGCTTAAAGTTTGCACAGCTCTTTACAATATAAGGAGGACATTACATTTACAAGACAAGATGGTAAGGAGGGCCGTGCCCATGGGAGCTTACAATCTAAAAGCCTTGTGTGACAACTTTGCATCTCCATAGACAGAGTATGATGAGTGAGCGTTGTCACCCTAGGACAGAAGTGTGTTACTGGAGAGATCACCAGGAGAAAATGAAAACTAATGCAGCCACCACATCTAAGGCCTTGATAAAGTAGATTTTTGTGTTTAGCTTCTCTTTAATTATCTCCAACAAGACATCTATACATTGAGGAAAAACAATAGTTTCTTTTTTTTTTTTTTATATATCCAAAACATTATTTTTTCGTTCTGTTCCCTCTTCACTTCCTTTCCTGGAGACAACAGAAACTGAGGGGAAATTTCCTCCAGTGTTCTATCGAAAGCTCCAACTCATCAAAATCTCCAACTACCTCACTTCTGGTGCTCCGAAAGACTGGAGCTCTGTACAGTTGCGGTGCGCATGTGCACATAGCCCTTTCAGAATACTCGACAAGTTTGCCACCTGCTGAATATTGTTAAAATGCAGCTGTACAGAAGCTCCGTCAGTCTTCATATTTTGCAGTGTAACGCCATCTGGTCGAAATCTCCAACTTGCAAGTACCCGGCAGTGAGGTAGTCGGAGATTTTGATGAGTTGGAGCTTTCGATAGACCTCCGGCTCTTAGAAAGCTGTCCCTGCCACAGCTGTTTCCTGTGAGAGATTTCCCTTCACCCCCTGTTCCGGTGACAACTGTACCGTTCCTGATTTTCAGTCATATTCTGTTCCTATGACAGTGGTCACGAAGAAAATAGAAAAGGCAAATCATTCCTTCATATTTATTAGATATACATACACTTTTAGTTACACTTAAAGAACTCTGGGCAAACTTTTCATTAACCCTTTGCTGTAGGGCTACCTCTGCACTGTAAGGGTTAACTGCTCATTTTTATCTAGGTTCCAGATAAAAGTTCTACTCACCCAAACCTCCTAGCCGGCTTGTTCTTAGACTAGTCCTTCCAGCGTCTCTCCTCCGCTGCAACGGTCTAAGGATCCCAATGTCATTACGTTCTATACACTGTGTATAGGACGTGAGGGCTCAGATGGACAAACCATCGCTGCAGCGTAGTAGGACAAAGGCTGGAGGGAGCACTAGGACAGCTGGTGGGCTCAGAGGTCCGGGTGACTAACTTTTTTTTTTTTAGGCACCTAGACCAAAATAAGCAGTTACCCTTACAGTGTGTGTGTGTGTGTGTGTGTGTGTGTGTGTGTGT